ACACATAGTCCACTCTCATGCGTGGACAGTTGAGGCCCATCTGAACCTAGGGTGTGGGTTCAACATCATTTGGTCCAACAAACTCTGGACTCTGGACTCCCAGAATATAGATTGTGTGTGGTATGTGTGTGTGTGTGTGTGTGTGTATGGGTGAGCGTGTGTATGTGAAACTTTATGTGTGTGTATGTATGTTTGTGTATGAACGTATGTAAACGGGTGTGTATACACAGTGGCATTCTCTCAGCACACAAGTGGGTACTTCTTTGATGTTCTGGGATTCTTCAGCCCACAAGAAGGAACACAGCCCAAGGAGGCCAAAGTGGGGCCCTCTGCTTGGGTTTAGGTAAATATTGATATTTAATACTCATCTTGAATCAGCCCCCATGAAGCGGCTGAGGATTTGGGGAAGAGGTTAGCCCCGTAATAAGACTGAAGAAGGGATTGCGGAAATGAGTTGGAGCCTATGGTTTCTGACCATCGGCTAGTCCAGTCCCTTTGTCGTCTCATCCACAAAAGGTGAGCTATCCCAGGGTCTTTATAATCCCAGTTCAGCACCTTCGGGTATTGAATATATTTTGTTCTTGGGTTAAGCCGAGTGCTGGTATTTTTTTTTTCTTTTACTATTTATTCCTGTGTGCTGGTTTAAGGGAAGAAAGGAATTTACCAGAGGTCTCTCTCTCTCTGCTCTGGTATGCATGGGATGTACTTGACTCCAGTGAACAGCTCAAAAGTTCCTCTCAGATTTGGATAATTGGTCTTAACACACGTAAATACCGTGAGTAGTGTGTGGACCTTCATTTAGGGAAAATGTGCTCTGGGGAAGATTTTTGTTCTAACACAGTTTTTTCTAACTTGAATTCTGTTCAGCTTGGCTTGGGGAGTGGTCTCAGTATTTAAAATACTTGGGGCAAAGGGAGGTGTGGTGGTTCATACCTGTAATCAGAGCTTTTGGGAGGCCAAGGTGGGAGTATTGATGAAAGACCAGCCTGGGCAGTCTGACAGTGAGATCCTACCTCAAAACGGAAAATAGTGAGAGAAAATGAAAGGAGAACATTTTTCATAAAGCAACCACCCCTGGCATGCTGTGACAGTCTGAGTTTAACTGTAATGTTTACATAGAATCAGTACTCGTTACATTGTTATAGTACCCTGAGTTTTGCATTTTAATCTCAGCTTTGATTTTGCACGGCTGTGTGAAGCGAGTGAGCGCCTCATACATTGCCCCTTTGTTTCATTGGTCGATCCTCCTGGCTTGCCCCGCCCCTTTGTTTCATTGGTCAATCCTACTGGCAGGACTAACCTGTCAGACCTCAAGCTTGACTCGGCAATACCGGTATTAAAGAGAACAGAGAAAGCTGGGCATGACGGCTCATTCCTAGAACCCTCAGCATTTGGAATGCTACGGCAAGAGGAGTTCCGTGAGTTTGAGGTCAGCCTGGGCTATAGACCATATCTCAAAGAACAAAGAGAAACTAACAACAAAACAGAACGGTGATCATCCCTCCTTTCCCCACATATTTCTCTTCCAATCATATGTCCAAAAGGCACATTAGCCTCTGCCTGGACACAGGGTGTGTCCTAACCTGTGAGTTCGAGACTCTACGCCAGAGAGATGACGCTCTCTGCATGAGCCTGGGAAGCAGGAAATGGGAACAACTTTTGATGTTTCAGACAGGGCTTTATTATGCTGCTCAGGCTGACTTCAAACTCAATCCTCCTGCCTTAGCCTCCTGAGTGCTGCGATGACCAGCAAATGCCACTTTGCTCAGAGACGGAGACACTGCAGGAACAGTACGTCAGGTTATAAATCAGAGGCCAGAGGCAGTGGGTCAGTTAGTTTGGGAAAGGATTGGTCTTGAAATTACCTTTCATAAGGAGCTTCACTAGGATACTGAACTTGCTACCCTGGGGTAGTATGATTGGGTCTTGCAGTGGGAGAGCATTAGGAGAGATGTAGCATCATATTATCAGAATGAAGAGGTGCTGAAGGAGAGCCTGGCTTCAAAATCCTAGAGAGGTGCTTTATTAGGAGAGAGAGCCTCATGTACCGCGTAGTGGGGGTCCTGAAGAAAAGGCATCTGATCCTAGAGAATGTTCAGATTGGTCTAGGTTTTTTTTTATAAGGTACCAGAAGCTCCATACCATGTGATTTAGTCTAGCATGCTCTACACGACTCTTGGCATTGCATGCAGCCAGGTACTAGATGGAGCCAGGACCTTGTCTCGCAGTTGCGAAGGGGAGGGTCTGCAAGGCCATAGCACAGCAGGGCTTCTAAACTCCCTTCCGGAGAGCCAGCAGGAGAGCAGCAGGGGGTGGGGCTAAATGTCTAAGAGATAAAGGCAACTACAGGGTCTGAAACCTAGCGGTAGTGTCACTACTCTTCCAAGTCACAGTGCTCACTGCTGGATCTGTTTCTCTTGTCATTGCTTAATGCCAAGTGTCCACGATTGGATTGCTCTTCCATGGCTGTAGGAAGAGGCCAGGAAAGGACCCCCAGTGTCACCAGCATAAGGGCTCAGGTGCAAAGGGCCCTGAAAATGCTTCTAAGTGAGGGGATAGCCTCACTGTGGGAAGACACCAAGTGGGAGGCATGATGGGGTTTCCTATTCTTCAGGGGCTTTTCTTTACTCAGTGGGGAACCCCCTGGCTCTTTTCTCAGTGCCCTGAAAGCCTGCTGTCAGTCCCCACGGACTATCTTTGAGTGGCCCCTACTTCTTGGTCATCAGTGGGTAAAGCATACTAATGGGGCAGCCGAGTCACTGGCAGGAGAAAGAAGGGCCTTCCTCCATTGGGCAATTTGGCTGCTGTCGGATCCCCAGCGCCTTTCCCTCGACAGCTGTAGCTTTGCCCCACTTCTTGTTTTTAGAGACTGTGTGTTTTTGTGTTGGAGGAAGGTTTGTATCTGTTTGCACATTGGTATGTCTTTTACATAGCAGTCTCTAGAATGATCCCGAGTGCGTGATGTTAGGAATTAGAAAGCTCAGAAGTGGAAAATATTTAACGTTCAGAGGAGCAGATGAACACAGGGTGCCATTTGCATTTTCCCTTTCGCTCTGACTCATCTTCCCGTATCTCCACCCTACTAACCCTTCACCAGCCTCACCCACTGACACACCCTGTCTGATCTAGGAGGGTTGACACCTGTCTGTACCCAAGCTAGAATAGGAGGGAAGGCATCCTAGGTCTGGAGGGAGAGAGCAATAGAAGGCTGAATGGAACACCTTAAGAGTCCTGGAGCCAAGGGAGAAAAGCAGATCTGACTGTCAGGTATTGGCTCTAGGAGGGGCCAGACGCTAGGGAGATCCCTCTGGGGATTCAGCTGATCCTGGCACCATAGCAGCCTAGCCAATGTCTGGCTTGTTTCTCCTTTCCTTATTTATTCTGTTTGTATGACATATTAGACACCTGCCACAAATGAAAAAAAATCAGCTTAAGGATCAGATTGATAGAATGGTAAAAAATAAATAAAAAATAAAAAGGAAACAAACAAACTTGAGTCTCAAAGACTTTTATCCCTTCCTCAAAATAATGAGCAGCAAAACTGGGTGGCGATGCTGGCTGAGACAGGAAGAAGACGAGAGAGAGAGAGAGAGAGAGAGAGAGAGAGAGAGAGAGAGAGAGAG